GCAACTGATTTAACCATTTCTAACATTATTACTGGTACTATGTGCCTCTTCAAGAATGTCACCAGGGCTTCTACACTCCAATGGCATTCTTGATGTTTTACCTGTTAGTATTTCTCTCATAATTAATGGGAGGGGCACAATCACCTGACCTTCAGAGGTTGCCCACCATCCCTCTGGATTTTTCTTTGCATTTAAGAATTGTGCTACTTTCTCATCCTCTTCTGAATATTTTGGTGATTCCTTAGGGAGAATTACAGTTCTAGTAGGAATTACTGCCATTTCTAACCCTCATTGTTTAGCTGCAATCTTAGCAGCTTGGTCTGCCAATCTATTTCCTTCTGCTATTTTTGTATTTCCATATTGATGCGCTTTACAGTGCATGATTGCTATTTGGGCTGGTTCTTGAACCGCCAATAACAATTGTAAAATTTCCTTTTGATGCTTATTATTTGCCCCCTGGGAGGACAAGAGTCCTTATTCTTTCCATAATGCTCCATGGACATGAACCACTTCAAAAGCATATTTTGAATCTGTCCATATCTTCACTTTCTTTCCTTTACTTAGTTCCAGAGCTCATGTCAAGGCAATCAATTCTGCGTTTTGTGCTGACATAGTGTTGGGCAGTGCATTTGCCTCTATCACAGTACTTTCAGTTGTTACCGTGTATCCTGTGCAGCGAGTCCCATGCTGTACAAAGTTACTGCCATCCATGAACAGGGTCACTCCCATTCAGGGTTTTCAAGACTGACATCCTTCAGGTCTTCTTAGCTGGAATACACATGCTCAATAGTCGTTATGCAATCATGCTTGGGTCCTTCTTCTTCCTGTGAAGCACTTAGAAAAACTGAAGGATTTACAAGGTTGGTTGTTTTTAGGACCACATCATCTTGTTCTGTAAGGACAAGCACTGTAACAGCCATATGTGGAACATAAACCATGATGTTTCTTCCCAAGGTGAGCTTTCTGGCTTCTTGTATCAATATTACTGTTGCTGCTACTGCCTGCAAGCAGGAAGTCCATTCTTCACTCACTGTGTCCAGTTGTTTAGAAAAGTACCCCACCGATCTCTTCCAGCTTCCCATCCTCTGGGTCAGGACTCCCAGGGCAAAGTACTGTCATTCATGGGCAAACAACTGGAAGTCTTTAGTTAAATCAGGCAATCCTAAAGCCGGTGCTGACAATAGAGCTTGTTTTTGAAAGGCCTCTTTTTGTTGTTGACCCCACATGAAAGGAACAGACCTCTGGGCCTCATACAATGGTTTGGCTATCAGGCCATAATTCATAATCCAGAGACGGCACCACGCAGACATTCCCAAAAATGCTTTTAATTCATGCACGGTTTGAAGTTCAGGAATGGCACAAATTGTTTCCTTTCGGTCAGTCCCCAACTTCCTCTGTCCCTTTGAAATCTCAAAGCCTAAATATATTACAGCTTGGCTTGCTATTTAGGCTTTCTTCTTAGACACCTTATATCCATTGAGTCCAAAAAGTTTAAAAGTTCAATGATTACCTGAATACAGGCCGACTTTTCTTCAGTAGCTATTAAAATGTCATCCACATACTATAAGAGCAGGTGTTCTGGTCACAGTGTCACTGTCTTTTTCATTTGTCCAGATTTCCAGTTCCTTTGCTAGCTGGCTACCGAAGATTGCTGGTTGTTCTTAAATCCTTGGGGTAGTCATGTCCATGTTAGTTGTACTTTACACCCTGTTTGTAGGCTCTCCCACTCAAAAACAAGCAGTTTACAACTTTCCTGTTCCAGGGATATGCAAAAGAAAGCATCTTTCAAATCAAGCACTGTAAACCACTGATATGTTTCTTTAAGGGCAGTCAGTAAGGTATACGGATTTGCCACTACCGGGTGGATGTCTTTCGCGATTTGATTTATAACTCTCAAGTCCTGTACCAATCTATACGCACCCATGGTCTTCCGTACTGGTAAAATAGGGGTATTATATTCTGACCCACATTCTTCTAAAATCTTATACTTCAAGAAGTTATCAATCAGCTTCCTAATTCCCTGTTTTGCTTTGTGTTATTTTTTTTTTTTCATAAAAGGTTCCTGAACCTTTTTATCCTTTATCACAAGAGACATTACTTGATTAATCAACCCACATTATTTTTGTCACTATGTTTTTTTCTCTCAGATAATGAACAGATCTACATATGGAAACTTGTACCATATTTTTCTTTTACAAAATAACATTAATTGCAAAATAGTGTTATAACTTAGGGTCCCATTCAGGGGCCACATCTCTCCATCTTCTAATTTATACAATGACCATTCATGATTAAATAAAATTCAATAAATTGACTTTTGCTTAATTCATCATGCATCTCTTTCCAGTGAGCTAAAAGGCAACTTAAGGGAGAGTTTCTTGGTATAGAACTCTTACTTCCTAACTTAAACAGGTTTGGGAATTTAAATGTCCGAGCAAACCACCACAGGTTTGGTTTGTTGTTTTTTTTTTTTTTTTTTTTTTCTTTTTTTTTTCTTTTTTTTTTTTTCCCCCATGTTTCATCCCTTCACTTCGCTTATCTCCGGCTGCACCCCTCATGTGATAACAGAACTGTGGATCAAAGCTCCACACTCGCTTCTTGCGTAATTGCACGTCTCAATCACTCATGTATGAAAGCCTCAACAGCGTTTCATTGTTTTCTATGTGACTGAAGTTACAAGATTCAGAAGCACAGAGACAAATTACAGAATCTGAAAAATACAATTTCCCATATCAAAATCAGAGAGTATCTGAATGAACACCGAAGTGTTCCCGACCAGTTGTATACCAGTGAGGTGCTAGCACCCCGGTATACTCTGTTCCATGTAAGATCCCACTTCTCACGATTTATGAACAGCCCAGACCCTCTTAAAATAATCCTTGCCTTATTCCTCACAGTGACTCAATTGAGATAGGGAGTCCCTCTGGGAAAGTTCCCAGGAGTGCCCAAGAGAGTCCTATTCTCAAGGAGTCCTGCAGGCCTCTCTCCTTTAATTCCCTTTCACCACTTACACTATTGCCAACCCTGTGACACTTTCGTATTCTCCTTACAGGCGGCGCCTAGGCTTCCACAACTCAGGAATTCCCTAGCCTCAACCACACGGAACTTTCGCTCCATCTGACAGGCAGGCTTTCCAATGTTCCAAAAGAAGTGCCTTACCTTTCCAGGGAATGTTGCGAGGAGCTTTATGGGTCGAGAGCGATAATTCTCCCCGAGAATTCCTCGGTGCCAGCTGGAGTTCGATCAGCACTCGATCCCGTCCAGTCTCACTCACAATGTCCCATCTGGGTCACCAAAACTGTTAGCGGTCGCAATCGCAAATAGAACTTATCTACACACAGCAGATAAGCAGGCACTTCTTTATTCCAGTGCTGGGGAACATGGGGGATAATTCCACTAAAGACGTGTTCACTGACAGGTACAAAGCACAACATAATTACACACTTTTTCAGCAGAGTCATGGTTACATAAGATCAACAAAATTCATAAAGTTTAATTTGACCTCAGTAATGATTGGCTTTCAATTGCCTCACCTTACCTATATTCCTATTCTACAGAAATCAATGGTCATCTTTACTAGTTGATTTGAATAGAATGAAGGGAGGGTAATGATTAGCATATGCATGTTATTTCCTGGAAATCACTATCATATGCAAATGTCTCTAATGCCTGCGTGGTTATATTGGATGGGGGTCCTCTGGTGCTCGTCGATAGTCTTCCTCACTGTGTCCGCTGATTGAACTCCATCCTTGTGCATGCTCATTTCTTCTTTGGATGATCTTCCAAACCAAACCCAGTATCTTCTGGTACCTATTGTTTTGACTCAAGATCCATAACCAGTACCCGTTGTTTTAATTCAGAGTCCATAACGATTCGTACAGTGTTCAAGGCACACAGCATACTAGCTACCTATTCCTAAGGGCCTTAGTGTGCTTTATATTCTCATAGCTGTTATAACTCCATTTTAAAATCAAAATCATATTCTAAAATAAAATCAAAATACTATTATAGGATTCAGTCTATTTTATTAAGGTAACTGCAACACTTATTTTCCGGAACTTCACCTTAATTTCTTATTAAAAATGTCTCTAAGCTTTAAGAACAAGTTTATAAAAACATAGTTTTGGAGCACTGCTTGTCATCTCTGAGTTGTGATGTTTATAACTGCTTTACGGACTCTCCATTCCTGCAGTTTTACTGATGATACAAAGCACATTTTCCAGATTGAACAAGTTCAGTCATGTCTACCTTGATCTTCAGATATTTTTTGTTACCACAATTTATTTTATGAGAAGTAGATATTCAAGTGTTTATCCAGTGTGATATCCTGCCATAGAAATGAAAGATGGAAGAGTTTTCTGCTCTTTGTAAGTGTAAACAATGCACAGTCTTTACAGATCTTACTTTCACTATTACCTGGACATGCAAGAGATCAAATATCTCTGTGCTATATAGTAAATAGACCTGGGAAGCACAGCACAGTAGCTTTCTGGGAGAACTAAGCTTATTTTGAAGTCAAATGCTTCAAACCCCTTCAATTTTCCGAATTACTGGTAAGACATTTCTTTTAATGTGTATATTTTAAATAGTATATATTTGGGTTGTACTAGTATAGTTATTTTCATACTAATTTCATTTTTTTTTTTTAATTTGTGAGAGAGGGGAGACAACGTGTAGCCCTTTGAAGAAGAAGGAGGCAGCAAGGTTTTTTGATAATGGTTTCATGGTAGTGGAAGCCGAAATTTTTTGCTTTGGACATTTTTCCCACCTTTCTGTTTTCTATTTCACCAAAATATTTTACAGTTGTAGAAGTGTGTGCATTTTTCTCATGGTCATGGATCAAGACATCTGATTATCTATAGATTCACTTGATCTACAGTTCAGAGGCTTTGAGAAGGAGGAACCAGTATTCTCTTTTCTGGTCAATTTACAGTCTTTGTCTCCCACTCACCAAAAAAAAAAAAAAAAAAAAAAAAAAAAAAAAAAAAATTCTGTATCGATATATCTCCTAAGACTGTAGCTAAAGTACCACAAGTGATGTAAGTTTTCTGAAGGAGAGCTAAACAAGCTCTGTACCTGCCTGCCAAATGACTAATTCATAAGCATTATGTAAAAAAAAAAAATATTTGTGCAAGTGTTGGCCAAATTCTTTACATTGTGAATTAAACATTTCTTATTTTCATAAATTAAAACTCTGAAATTATATAGAAGGCTGAAACCTGCAATTCACAGTATGTATTGACATTTCAGGGGCTGGCATATTTGAAGTTTTGTTTCAGAAGAGTAGTACCGTCATCTTTTATAACCTGTGTTGAGTTTTCTAAAATACTGTGTGATGCAAAGTGATCCTAAGTAAACCCATCTGTAATTTTGTTTGTTAGAATGGTAGCAGCCTTAGGATCCTGAGAACACATCTAATAAGGGATATCAATGCAAAGATATGCTTAAATATTCTTGCACTGGATGCTGCAGAAGTTGAAGGGTGTTCAGAAGTTCGATGTTGCAGCTGCTGTTATTCTACTTATGCAGTCATGCTGCCACTGCTTTCCAAGATTTTTGAAAGCTAACACAAAGAGTTAGGCTCTTCATTCCATAGTCTTCATCCAATTAACTTTTTTTTTTTCTTGAAGTGCAGCAGGTTTCCCCTGGAAAATTTTAAAAACTCAATTGTAATATTTTTTATTATTTGCTAGATACTAAGGAGGAGTAAGCAAGATGAGGTAAAGTACACTCTGTATCATAAAAAAAAAAACAACCCTCCAGAAATCCAGCAGACCTTACACAGAATTATTCTAGACTATTGTTTTCAACTGTATGCTCCAGTTGCTACTATTTTTCCCTGTTTTCTGTGTGTTCTGCTCCTGAGTAGGTCTTTCAACTGGAATTGATGAGATAAGATCTGATGGTATTATAGAAGTGTTACAAATATTACTTTTTATGAAGGAAAAGTGGGTTTTAAAGAAAAGTCACTGATGCGAAGTGAGTAAAGGTGTGGTTGTGGAATGGTGATCTGATAGTTGCAGATGTGTGATACTTCAAACCTTCATGTTCATTAACAAATAATTATATGGCTGAAAGGCTCTTGAGGCAGGTAAATTGCACCTATTCACCTCGATACTATGTAAAAAATATGAAAGCTACATTCAATTATCCATAAAATAGCTGCAAGTGAGGGCAACTTTCAAATATCTGGGCTTATATTGGTGCTTTCATGGACTCTTACTTATATATCTTTTCTGTTATAGTGTACGTGAGAGAGAGGTATGACAGAATAAAAACTAAGGAACCAGCAGTATAGTGTATTATGCTCCTAAAGAGAACTTTTATTTTCTCTTTTCTAAGAGCTAATGCTGGGTCCGAATGATGTCAGACCTAGTGATGTCTAAATAACAGTCCTGTACAAGAAAGGAAAAAAATTTAACAGAGGGAGCTAGGGTATGTTCTTGTAAGTGGTGTAGTATTTGCAGCCACGTTTAGAAGGGAAGCTGAAACCACTTTTGTTGCTACTGTGTTATGTTGTTAGGGAAAGAACTGCATACAAAGGAAAATGTAGAGAATGACAATTTGGGTTTACCAAAGAAATTAATAAAAAACTGTAATTATGCTCATTAATATCCTCCCCTACTGGAAAACAAAATGTGAAAAAAGCAACCATTACAAAACTAGTACAAACAGTTTGCAATTATTAGCAGCCCTGCTCCTGTTGTGTAGGGATGTTTTCTTCAAATGTACCTCCGTGACATTTCCTCTGAACAGATTTTAGCTCTCACTTCACCTGTGACTAACTGTCTAAGAATCACACCACTTACAATGTAGCTACCTTCACTACACATGACAGAATTTTTGTGTTTGCAAGTATTAGACAAAACCATCCAACAAATTAACTATGTCACTATGAGTATTAATGTATGTCACTTTTAATTTTCCAGATAACATAAGTATCAGCCTTACAAGTGATTGTATAAGAAAAGGCCAAGGCATAGCAAGATTTAAATGCTCCATCTGAGATCCTGCAAATGTTTGCTAAAGCTAGTCTTGTGCTGCCATTCTGATGCTAATTTTCATTAATATGCAGCTGCTCTCTTCTGTCACTGCAAACTAAGAGCAGTTATTTCCTTATTAAGGTTTATTCCGCTAGCTTTGTGTCCTAAAATAAAAACCCATCATTGTTTTGTGTGTAACTGGTTAAAACAAATAATATATTTGATTCTATAAGCTTTGAAACTAGGAGTGATATCTGTGAATGGTTCCATTATGAAATACATTTGTTACTTTCACTGTTACCTTGTGTGCAGAAGACTTTGTATAATTCACCAGAACAGTTTTATGCTTGGAAAGTATCACTTCTTCCCTTTTGATTCTGTGGAGATCTTGCCTGATAAAATTATGGTATTGGCTAAATAAACATCCCAAACAGCGAAGCACTGATAACATTTCTGCTGGGTATGTGTGGATAATGCCAGGAAATGCCACTAGAAGAGACAAAAAGAGTTGTTTCAGACTCTTCTGACAAAGAGAAAATTTGATGAGAGGGAATGCACTAAATTGTGACATAGACAGGTTTCTCTTGTTCTTTGCCTAATTTCAGGACAATCCATCCAACCTCACTGTGGTTTACTTAACACGTTTCTTCTGCCAACTAATGTAATTAGACTAATAGTTCAGTTGGTAGCAGGATGCCTGAAGGTAGAGGAAAGACTGACACATGATAGCCAACAAAGACTGCTAGTGTTGCACAAAATAATTGTTTTGTTATAAAAAGTAAGAAGAAAAAAAAAAACAAAAAAAAACAAAAAACAAACAAACCTGTAAATCATTCCAAAAACTATGATGACAGCAAGTTATTTAGAAATTGTTGGTCTGGATTGTCTGTGCAACTCTGTAAACGTCATTCAATATCTTTAACTGTAATGATGACAGAGGATGTTTCATAAACCCTTTGTTTCAGTCCCAGCCCAGAAGTTAAATGTGGTGGGTTGGAGAGGGGAAGGACTAGAGGGAATGCAGGAAATAGTAGGAACTTCTCCTTTAGATGATGGAACCTGATGGAGATGTAAGAGCAAGTTAAATAGCTGATCATAGTAACTATAGCTGTGAATAGTAAAAGATCCTTTCACAGACTCACTGGAAATTGCAAGAGATTTCCTTTCCCTGGCACCCACTTGGGTGCTACTCTTTGTATGTGCCTGTCAATTTATGAAACATGTTACCAACAGTATGTGATCAGCCAAAGGAAAAATTATGTGTTAAAAAAAGCATCAGACTGAAGAGGACTACTAAAAACCTAAATGAGATATCAGAAAAGTCAAAACACCTATTTACTCTAAATGTTAAGGAAAACAACATTACCATCTACCATTCTGTTCTCTCAACAATTTCTTGTGAAATTTGTTCCTCCAAAGTTTGGGCATTCACTATCTCAGCTACTATGGAAAAGCAAATTATTGTAAGAAAGCCATTGCTCATCAATCCACAGAACGCATCTGCTACAGGCTCTACTTATGGTGCACTCCAAGACAGATTTCTGAAAGAATATATGTGTTCTCACTACTCTCTCTGCCTTCACTCCACTGAAAAAAAGTTACACAGTTACAACAGATGCTTGTACAGCTTCTGACAATTCCTATATTAAACACAACATTAGTTCATTGCCAAAACCAGATTTACTAGCTCAATGCTCTCCAGTAAAGGAAGTAAGCTGCTGTAAAGGGAATAGCTTTAATTATTCCTGAATTCAAGACAGGAGAATGCCATGAGATATTACACTTACAAGCATAGTCAGAAGTCAGAGTTCTCAGAAATTCTGAGTTGGATTCCAGCTATTTTAATTTACTTCTAGATTCTAGGACTATAAATCTGTTTTGAAACTTAAATTTTAGATGGAGGTTTTAAAGAGGACATTCAACTTTCTTAAAATGCAGAAAAAAAGAAAATCCTCTCCCTGCTTAAAATGGAGAGTGATCCTCTGCAATCTGCAGTGCAATTCATTCGTTCTTTCCTTGTTCCATTTGATTAATGAAAGCAATGTATTTTCTCTCCTTCTGCCAGTGATTAATACTTCTCTGCACTTCTTTGGTTTTGGTGGCAGATTGCTGGGGGAGAGATTCCACAGTAAATTGTATTTGATATCAAGTTTTAAATAGGCTTTGCCAGCCTGCTTGTTTTGTGAAAAATACTTCTCCATCTCCAGTAGTGTTTAGCCTGGAGTGTGTCTGCTCTATGTCTCTGTTAAAGAGAAGGGGAGTTTAGGAGAGCTCCTTTCAAAACTCGCTTCCATCTCCATAGCTGATAGTGCAAAGTGAAAGAGAACAGCTTGGCTGCTGCTTCCTTCCGCATGTCTGCCGAGTAGGCATGTGGGGGCAGCAGGAGTAACAGGCAGAGACTGAATCACAGTTACGTACTGGCCTCAGTAACAGCAATTTGTTCTTCCAAGTCCATGATTTGAATTAAAGCCATGATGGGTGTTTTATTCAGGTTGTAATACTTTGAAGCTATTGCTGCTAGTGTCAGACAAAAGTTGCTCCATGAATTTTCCTTGGGGAAGTACTGCGTCCAGTACTGACTATGTATAATTCATATCACCTAGACCTTGGTGGTGTGACAGGGCCTATTTTAAATAGTATTTTGAACTACTGTCTACACTAGTGATTCACGCAATGCCAGTGATGTTCCTGGATATGGGAATACCACCATCCATTAATTTTCACTGCTACAACTGTCTCTGGATGACTTCTGGCCAAAGCTGCATCTCCCAGATACCCCTGGGCAGAGTCTGGAGTTCAGTATGAGCCAAGGAGCAACAGGCAGTTCATGTGCAGCTGACCTGTTTTGAAGGACAAGCGATTTTAATAATAAGGATGGGGAATGCTCTGCATGTGTTGGCTTCCATGCTGCAGAAAGGTACATTCAAAGCAAATTCATTTTCCTGTAGTATATCTTACAGAACCTTTTTCTTTATTGGGCTTTTAGCTTTGAAGTAATTATCTCCAATTTCTTGGTTTGTTACTGGTGGTAAACTCAATGGATGCTCAATTTCTGCTCATGCATTAAGATTAACTACAAATAAACTTTTGACTGTGTTTGCTTTTACTTAAAAGTTTGGAGATGCATACTGAAGCATGTGCAGAACTAAAACTGGTGTCAGTTTGCCAGCATAGTCTTTGATGTTACCAAGCATGAGACCTATGTATAGGATAATACAGCTTTCCTTCTATATATGTGATCAAACCACCATGTGCATGTTTTATTCCTTATCTTAAAAGCTATTTTTTACATTGCAGCCTCAAAAATAAAAATGTAACTATTGAAATGATATCTAACACCCTGCCTTACGTATAAACTTCAAGTTAGAGTCGAAATAGAAAATGTGTTATTTTAGCAGGGCTGCTGTGACCACAGTCTGCAAAAATCCTCTTTACACTTGACTGTGAGCCCCACCCTTTAAAAAAAACTCTTTGTCCTGTTTTCAAATTGAATTTTTCACTACATGAATCTCATTAATTAAACAGCAAGAGTAACTTCCACGAGCGACCTGTTCTTCCCCCTGCAGCTCCTTGCATGGGGACCCTTTCACTCATAGCTGCTAAAAGCCATTTTTCTTCTGTCTGGCTGAGGAGAAGTCTATACAATAGAAAGGACAGTTATGCTCCTAAACCCAGTTGTTGCCAAGAATTGCTTAAAATAACTTGAAAAATAAATGGTTTCTCCTCATTGTTTCCTTTTCTTCCAGTCACGTTTTTGTCACATATCTTTGCCCAAGAACCCAAAACTCATGACATTTCCCTACCATCCTCCTTCCCTTTCCACAGGCTTTTTACCCCCAGCTGTTGCTGTTGCTGCCAGCTCTGTTCAATTAACCTCAACAGGAATGCAGTCATCCCTTTGTGGTTAATCCCGTTCAAGATTAATGAACTGTGCTTTAAACCAAGAGAACTGCTAGTAAAAATGAGGTATAATTTCATTAGAAAATTGTGTAATGCTAATTAATGAAGAAGGTCATTTTAGGACTTGGCAGAATTGAGTTAATCTGGAGAAGAAAATTCCACAGAGCAAATATGTGAAGTTTTCTATTTTCTCTTTACCCTCACTCTCTCTGTGGACACCTTTTGTCACTAAGCATCCTGCTTTCTGCCTCCCTCCCATCGGGTCACCACCAAGGCATGTCACTGGAAAGAATGGAGTAGGGGCAGCAATAAAATCAGCCCACTTGTTTCTTCATCATTTGTTTCTGAGTGATGAACACTGTGTATAATGTGATTTATTTGAGTGTTAAAAAACAGGGACTGGTCAAAATACTGAGATCATTGCTTCTCCAGTTACAAACCAATAAAATTCCTGGTATTTGGCATTCATGGTGGTCCTGGGAAAGTTTGCAATCGTCCAGTTTCTCAGTGGTGTTTGTTCTGTACATTTGAGCAAAGGCTTGAGTGATACCTTATATACGTTTAACCTTTCACTTTCTGGATATAAAATGCAATCATGATGGACACCTAGAAAAAGCAAAGTAACAAGGGACTTTGCGACAAAGTGATGAGAAGGCAGGTCAGTGACAGGGGAAGGGAGAGAAAACAGGCAAATAGCTGGTGTTTGAAAAACAAGATCAGAAAAGTCAGCTCATCAAAAATGTTCAAATTCTGTTCCTGTTTGGTGATACACAGCTTTGTTTATTACTTCAGAGCTCTTGACTCTTCCATTATGGCATATTAATTAGTATCCATCCTGTAAAAGATCAAATAAATATGATTTCTAATATTTCATGTTGCTTCACTGAAGGAGGTCTTATCATAAAGTAATTAATTACACAACTTTCATTCAGATATTTTGATCTTTTATACCAAAAAACTGTGATGTACGGTACTCAACTCTCTAAAGCATGATGTTATAATTAATTTTTTTCTTACAAAAAAAATTACAGGGTTGCTTCTGAGTTCTAAAAATATATTTCTGACCCTCCAAGAAAAAGATATCCATTCTGGAAAGGATATATCTATAAAAAATAGATTGAGTCCAGGTTCTGAACATAAAACTAAGTCTAATGACTGGAATTCTATAATACAATACCAAAAGAATTTTCTGTACAATATATTGAAATGGGCCAAATATCCACCAACCCCAAAATATGCATATTTGTATTCTGCACAGATAGAGGAGGAGGAGTTGATACATGTCAGTCAGAGTTCCTCAGAGTGTTTTGTTTAAGTGCCAGAAGCAGCCAATGTGCTAGCACACATGCTTATGTTTTAGCATATGAGTATAGAAAGTCAGCCAAGCACGAAAAAAGTCAGTCACAGTTATTTTGGGGATGATACTTTGTTTTTTATATACTCCACTGCTATATTTATAGATTCAAAATAATTTGTGTCTTATCTTCAAATGTAATTACCACAGAGGACACAGAACATGGTATTTTCAAAGCAGCCCAAGAAAATCGAGGACTCAATTCTTAGTAGACAGGAAAATAATATGCTAAGACTCTTTTGAACATGCCAGTATCAAGCACCCGTACAGGAGCATTCTGTTCCTTGATGCAGGTTTGCTATAAAGTAAGCCAGCTGACAATGTTTTTGCAATACTAAGAGGTCATATAATATAGTGAAATATTTCATATCTAGTTTTGTTTTTCATGAGAAAGAATGAGCTCTCTAATTTCTCAGTGTGGGTGTTGTTTATTGTTTTGAGTTCTTTTCCTGGACAGCATTATGGACCAAATGCTCAATCCTTCTATGTCAAAGGCAAAGTTTGATTTAAATGAGACCAGAATACATGGGTATGTGCTAAATCAGATATTTTTAAATGCATGCCACTTGAGACTGCAGAAGAAAAAACATGCTCATAAATAGTTGTGATATGTTTGAAGTCAGAGCACTTTTCTCTCTGTGGGTCTATTTATAGTTTCAGGATAAGAAATTCTTATGCTTAGTAGCAGGAACTGATGAGTGAGACTTCTACATACTCAGAAGAAAAACCTGAGTTGTAATTTTCTGTCTCTTCAGCCTAAAGAAAATTCACGAGTCTTGTACTTGGGATATAAAATTAATCCTGCTTACTTAGGAAGACCTTAATCACACACTTGCAGTTTTCCACTTGAACTATGGTATCTGTAGTACCTAAAGGGGTCAATTCTCACAGAATGCTTTTCATCTGTCTTTGTCATCGTGTTAAAATAAATCTTCAATTTCACTAGTGACTAAGATTAGATTTTAATGGTTTTTTTTTTTGTATTTTTATTTTTTATTCTGTTGCTGTATTAAGACCAGAAATACAATTGGATTATTGTGAATCCTGAAGTGTTCCCTTTTTTTGCTGCTGGAGTCCAGTTCCATACAATATTAGCAATCAGCTTCTATGCCAAAGCCAAGCAGTGACAGTTGCAATAATGAATATTTGCTGCAGGCCACTGGTATGAAAATAGCACAGTGCTGCAAGCCTGCGTCACCAGAAACAAATCTTCCATTTGACTGTGACTGAATTTCTAGCTCGAATTTAGATCATTTATTATTCAAATAGTTCTTAAAGCACTGTCATAATATAATGTTAAGAAATGCTGATTCAGTCTTCAAGGCATCAATTCAAATGCCTTCCTACTCCTTTTTGGTGGGGTATTTTTTCTTAATCCATTATACCTTTATTGCTGTACCCTGTATTTAGGGCACTGAACTGTGTGCAGGCAGTAACACTGTAATATATTCAGAGGCACATGCTGGTTAGGTTAGAAGTTCTAGTGAGAAAAGGATTTGAATTCCCTCTTTATAAGCTTACTTGACAGCTTTTAGAATATTTTCTCCTTAATTCCCGCAGATAATTCTAGAGTCTATATGAGGAGGAGCGGCTTTGAGTCTTTAAATGTGTCATGGCTTTTACACAGTGAACTTAGATGTTTTTCCTGTATATGTTTTGTTGTCATTAATTCATTTGCATTAGTGGAATACATAATGTATTAATATAGGACACCTTTTGAAAGTGCAGAGTATATGCAATGAACTTTGATATTTTTTTTAGTTGAAGAATATGCTATTGACATTTATCATTTTTAGTTTAGTTTTTATGTACAATGCTTCTTTCATGCATGCATTTCAAAATACCCTCAAAAGGACTAACGTAATCGATTGTGTTTTCTTTTCACTTTAAAATAATTACATAGTGAAATAATAGATCAACATATGTATAGGAGGTCAGATACTTGAAGCAGAATAAAGTCCTCAGTTATTTAAGCTTTTATTTTGTGCTCATTGCCTCAAGTTTTCCTATGGAAAATAAAGAAATTATGATCTATATTTTGCTGAAGGCAAAATACTGACCCTTGCACTGCAAAGCTGGTAATGGTGATTGATGTACATATCTAATTTCCTGAAAGATTAGAATGAGCACCAACCTTGCCATCAATCCTGAGAGAATGTTAATGTCTTCTTTTTTCTTTTCCTTCCCTCTCCCTGGTGCCAGCTGCCCTTTGCCTTCCTTTTCACTGGGAAAGTACATTGGCTAGACCTACTACTGTACAGTAGTACCAAGATGGAGAAACTGAAGTTTTAAAAGCAGTGTTAGGTACCGCTGGGAGTGGGCTTTTGAGGAAAATAAGTTCACTGCAGCAACTTTCAGATGAAGAAAAGCCAACATTGACAGGGTTGGGAAAGGAGTGATCAGTTAAATGTATAATTTTGTGGACAGACCTACAAAGGCTTCATTTACTCATCAGGTTCCCAACAAAAAGCTTAATATTTCAAAATAGTATTTTTCTTTTGAAACATTATTGTTGGTCTGTAGAAAATAATAAATAAGAACAGAATGTTCAGCAAGGTAACACCATTCCTTCTGCACCAGTATTTCACGTCCCCAGTACCTTCAGGGTATAACCATCTCCAGACTAACTCTCAGGAAAAAAAAATACTTTGATTAGACCTGGAGTGGGACCTTATTTTTGCTATATGTTTAATGCCTGGCAATATGTAGAATATACACGTAAAAAACTCTGCTTTCATGGTTTTATGAATAGTGATTTTAAAAAACCCTCTGGGAGAATATGTAGAAACATTAAAAATTACATAATATATAGAAATTAATAGGGCTTGAAGGGTCCTATTCCCCCTGACTGGAAAGGGATCATACCTGGGTTACTCCTGCAGATATTTGTTCAGCCAGCTCCAAGTCCTCCAGTAGTTAACATTTCCGGATCTCTGTAGGTAGGCTATTCTCAGGTTTTATAATCTTTAATATTAGAAAGAATTTCCTGATGTCTTATCTAAGTCTCTCTTGATGTAATCCAATAGTCCTTCCATTAAGGGTGATCAGGGAGAGGAGTTTATTCTCTTATTTTTAGCTACCTTCTACAGATACAAAAAATGTTGTCAGTGTTTACCCTTCATCTTCCGTATTCACAGTTCATGTTTTCTAAACCTCTAATTTCTTTTGGATTCCTCCCTTGTAACCCCTATCTTGTTGGTTTGCATTTATATTGCTGCTGGTTTAACAACAAAGCAAGTAATTGCTAATTTTTGACACTGCAGCCCCCAGGCTGCACACAGGGCCTCCAGTACTGATTAGAGGAGAAAAAAATACTTCATAAATCTTTCATTTTGTACTTTCAATATGGTGGTGACCTATTTCATAACACAATGATATGAGAGATAGATGTTCATCTTGCTATCTGCTACTGAAAGCATTTTCTGAAAAACAAGCAAGCAAACAAAAAACCAACCCAAAATCAAACAAAATACTCCCCAAAAGGCTCTACTGGGGCTCCAGTTCTTCATCCTGTTTTAATAGATCAGATTAATCCTACTGGGTGTGGATTCCTGCAATTGTTTTTACTGAAAAGCATCTAATTTTCTGGACTGTTTCTCCAATGTGCTAAAATTGTTTTGAATCATGTCTCTCAGTGTGTTTGCACTTGCTCCCAGTTTGCTATTGTCTGCTAAGTTACTAGGCATGTTCTTCATTAATGAAGTTGTCGAACAGTATTAGTATGAAACACACCTCTGTGTCATCAGTTAGTTGTGTCCCCATGCATCACAGCACAGGCTGAGATCTATAAGTGAAAGAATTATTATTTTGCCTGTTCTAATAGGTGGCAATGAATAAATTGCACTATAGGTAGAGCACCACTAATACCAAGAAATGCATGAAAACAAAATGGGCTGTCTGTGTTGGAAAGTACCCAACTCCAGGAATATCTCAGTAAAGTAACCAAGTTTTCTTATGGGGGAAGCTGCTACTCAGTAGGCTTAATATGACAAAATACAACACTGTAAAGGCAGAACAGCTCCTATCCCTTCTCTCCTTCTCCTGTCCCTTCCTTGCTGTTTCCTCCACTGGCTCAGTGCTGGATATTACTGTCCTCTACCCTGCTAAATACTTAACTACCAAATGATACTGCTATATCCAAATGTCATGTATATATTATTCAAACCACAGTTTCATTGTGTATTTTTTCTCTCTTGGAATTGAAAACTGCAGAAGTTCTTAGATGCAAACCCTAGGTTTCCAAATAGATTTAGGTATATAACTTGCTTCCAGTTTTTCCAAACATACCACTTATGCACAGGACGGAAATATTATTAGTGTTTGTGTAGGTCTCAGATATAAAAAGTTGTATATTTAATTACTATTATTAGTATCTATGGTTAGTATGCAATAATGGATAGTAATAATGCATGGATAAGTGTATACTGTGTATTAATAATTACCTTCATTCATTTAATATTCATTTTGCTTAATATCAAGTGAAGTATCAATTTAACATTTTATTTTTATCAGATATCAAGAATATAAAATGATTTTCATTTTAGTTTTACTAGTACAGAATGTTAAAACTTTGGCTTGGTTATTCAATTAGTGTGTGATGTGGTACTATGGCAGTTTATGCATCTGAAGTGCTGCATATAAATTTTAACTTCCTATTGCATCGGTAATTTACATGACCTCTTTTAGTGGATTATCTTTCAGTTGTACAGTACAGTCTTAATGACCTGTCTTTTCAGTTTATGGATTCTGTATTTATTGGGTGTTAGCAGAATGCAGGAAACAGAATACATGCCATTTCAATACATGGGAGTACTGTATTTTTTAACCATACAAAATACAAAGAATAAGGTCAGATTTAGTTCATTACCATTGGTCAAAACATTACCAGCCCAATCAGGCTCTCTGTGTGGTTACAGCATTAGGATGCAAACAAGCAAATGTCAAAGGTCACAACCTTTTTTTTTAGTTTCCTTCCATTTCCTCTTTTTGCCCACAGATGTTACCACAGGGACACCAGCAATATCGACGATGACAACCGTGGAAATCCGGAAGAGCAGTGTTATGACAACTGAGATCACCTCTAAAGTGGAGAAAATCCCCACAACAGCCACTAGCAGCACCACATGCCCTTCTGTTGAGACTGAGGAAGAAAAAGCAAAAAGACTGCTGTACTGTTCGCTATGCAAAGTCGCTGTCAACTCTGCCTCACAGCTGGAGGCGCACAACAGTGGTGAGATGGAGCAGTGCTTCTTTTCTTCTTTTTTTTCCTTCTGTCTCAAGAGCTCTGCAATTATCTTCCTCTGAATAGATTAGATCTCTTGCAGCAGGGGACAAAGAGGTGGCAGAAAACTGGCAATTACATGGAATTCATTAGGTATTAAAGAATAAAAATGACAGGCAAAGAGGCTTTCATAACAGGGGAAGAAAGGCATTTTATTGCATGCAAGTTACCCATTTTCTTACATTTTAGCTTTTGCAGCTTCCAAACCTTATAAAGCTAAATGACAGCTCATGCTTCATTACCTTTGGTGTTCAGTTTGCATAGTTTTGTTTGTGTTAGCTAGCAAACTGAGTATGAATGCCATTAGTTTTGTTTGAAATCTAACAAATTAAGGCTGAAAGGGGGAGCATCAGTCAGAGTTCAATGATGAGAGTTAGAATTCTTAAATTAAATATTGTCTGTTAATAACTTGTTAAAATTATGTATATTTTCCCTTTGTTTTCATCAACTGATAGCAAATGCTACATGAGAGTTGAATGGGTAATTTCTTGCCCCCATCTTCCTTAATATTTAAACCTTTTCTTGTTATTAGAGCTAGTAGCATCAATAAGTTCCAGCAGTAGAGAGCCATCATTCACAATCACTATTTTAAGCATCTTATTGATTGGCAGTGTGGTGGGTGGAGCTAAAAGATCTTGGGATTTAATGTGGTGGCAATGACCACCTATAAACTTCCTACAGAAAACCTCCTGATTTTGGATGACAAGGGTTACCTGCCAGCAGGATAAACAGAGTAAAGAGAAAGAGAGAGAACCTTAAGTTTGAAAGATAAAGACAGTGATGTTATACCTGCAGCAAAATGATCAATGGTTTTATGATTTAATAAAGAAAAGAAGTAACTTTGGCATGTCTGTGGAATCCACTTAAATTAAAAAGGAAATAATAATTTGTTGGTATTCATGAGAAACAAAGCCTAATCAGTTTGGAATGCTGTTTGCTCTATGCCAGATCTTCAATTGCTGAAAATTTGACTTCATAAAGCTGTACCTATTTAACCTATTTAACTTCATATGGGGGTTAGACTCTAAACATTTTTCTGAACAAGATGAGATCCAAAACATTATTCTGAATATTTAAACAAAATGCTCCAAGTTTTAGCTGTCTAGTTTTGCTCATAAAGTTTTGCTGATAAACTGCATGTGTGCTTATACACACATGTTTGTAAAAGTGTATGTGTGGATGCATACAGCGATTATCAGTAGAACACCAGTTCTGTACACAGTAGTAGTCCATTATCATCAGAGACTACTTGTGTGGAAGTCAGCAGTGTAAGAAATTGTTTGGTGAGAATAAAGGTAAAGCAACAGGATACTATTGTTTTCTATCCAGTCTTTATTTTAATAAAAATTGCAAGTGCATTTTTCTCACCTGTATGTTTCTCACACATTTTGGTTTCTATCCAGGCCACTGAGGATCCATACGTTGCAGGAATCTCTTCCCCTTTTTGATTTGGAGACTAATTACTTAATTACAGATTTAAGTGTAAGCTACCTCATACATATTGTTTATCAATCCATTCAAGAGGACTACAAATCAAAGGCAACTACATCTTTAATAGCTAAGTTACTCTTCCTTTGTGACTACAATTCAGGTCTTATTAGCAGCAGGAGTTAATGAGAAAAGTCACACCCATTTAACTTCACATTGGGATACCTGATTGTGCCACTACTTACTGGTGTGGCTGCTTTGTTCTAGTGCATTACCTACAGATATGCAATTTAATAATGAATTATCAGATGTGAAATACTGTTACATTGGTATGATCCTGATACAGACAAACACAGGCATATTCCAAGGATAGCACATGACACCAAGCTGAGGTTCATACAATTTTCTTTTAAAAAGAAAATAAAGTAATGAATGTAACCAAATTGCCAAAGCTGTTTCTGTTTCCCATTTCTAATGTCTCCAGGGACTAAGCACAAAACTATGCTGGAAGCTCGGAATGGAAGTGGAACCATAAAAGCTTTTCCCCGGGCAGGCGTAAAAGGCAAAGGGCCTGTGAATAAAGGAAACACAGGCCTTCAGAACAAAACATTTCACTGTGAAATATGTGATGTGCACGTAAACTCTGAGACACAACTGAAACAGGTACTCAGCTAGCTTGCAGAGTGTGAATCCTTGGCTGTTCTTTGTTTTCATGGTGATAAAGTATCAACACAACCAGCATGTGTCAGTCTAACAGTTTGCATCCAAATGGAGCTTATGGATTTTGCCCTTTATACTTAGCTGTCACACTGTATGTTTTGTTTTGGATATGATTTTCCCTTGTACAGAATATGTTTTCTCAAAAATTCCTCATTATATATATTTCTTAAAGAGTTATAGAAGCTGCTAGCTGCAACATGTTATAACTGTCTTTAGATTACTGTAATTGTCATGAGCTAAAAAACCCTGCCATTTAGGGTACTGCAGGATATTTGCCTTGACAAAGATATGGAGGTGGGTGCAGCCAGTACTTTCACAGAACACTGAATAACCTGCTTAGAAATGCAGGATGGAGAGGATTTGTAATATTTTTTTTATCAGTGTTATATTGTAATTGAGAAACATGACCTCTAAATTGCAATTACACTAAGTTATGTTCAGTCATTCTTCAGATGAACAAAGCCTTTGTTCTGAAAACACTTAGTTTAATTCCATATGCCTTTTGGAATTAAATACTTGTTAAGAAACTTTACAAGAATGAAGATAAATTCAGTAATGGACAATAGCAATACTTGTCTTCTGCTTTCAGGAAAAAAAT